CCTCTCCCCTCTTCCCCTCTCCCCCTCCCCTTCCCACCTCTCCCTTCCTCCTCTCCCCTCTTCTTCTTTCCTCTTTCAAAACTTTAGGGTGCTAGAGTGGTGGGTAACCTGGGGCTTTCAATTCACGGTTGAATATTTTAGCGGTGAATATTTTATTTATAAAAGCAGTGCCATGCTTTTATCAGTTGTATTTCTCTGTGTAGAAAATGAACCACTTTAGGAGGGTAGTCGATGCTCCAGGTTAAAATCCTGTTAACTCATTTTCCCCAGGTCCGGTTCCCTTTCTGAGCTCGGATCTTAAGAAGCCTGTGTTGAGAAGACGATTGAGCCTCTCTGGATTGCTCAGTCTTTCTGTCTAAGGGAGGGGGGGTTTCTTCTATCATTAGCAAACCACCTCGTGCATATAACCTGAGGGCTGGCATGTGTTATCAACAGGCTGCATCTCAGGGCTGGGTGCTGGCTACATTCACGGTCCACAGTGACGTCTGCCTGCACTGGCCTTTCCGCTCAAAAGCTAATGAGCAGTTTAACTGAGATCCAGCCTTTCTTTGTCTTTGCAAAATGTCGGCATCCCCAGCGCTGCTCACAACTGATCATTTCTGCATCTACCCTTAACTATATAGGACACGTGTTCAGTGTCCAGTCAGGAGTGGGTTGTGAGGGAGGAAGGTCAGCAACTGTCCCCAGGAGCGTGTGAGCACAGCCTGACAGCCTTCTATCCTCACACAGCTCAGTGCCACAGTCAAGATGTTAGCCTACTCAGATTGCCTTCCTTTCACATCATTTAACGTATGGGGCAGTGGAGTCTTCTGATTCAATTTGCATTAATCTGTACTTTGCAGCAAGACTTAATGCATAATCAGCTATTAAGTACAACTCTTGACTTACTCCGATTTGGGAAAAGTATAAGTGAAATATAGGGGGCAGCTTCCAAGGGCAAGATATCAATTTTAATGCGTGTTAAGTTCCCTCTGGGCACGAATACGCTCCTATGTTGTTCATGCCCGGCCTTAGCCCCTTGTTTCTGAGTGCAAAGTGCTATTATAATTCATTTCCCTTCCCTTGGTATCTGTGATGACGCCTCAGGACAGCTCATTCTTTCTGAAGGAGCTGGACACTTGCTGTGACCGCTCTGAAATCTGTCCATCCACAAACCCCTCCTCCTTCCAGTTTGGTAGGACAGTGTTTGAAAAGGCGTGGAGCCTGGTGGATAGTTATAAGCTGAAGAATGACGAGTAGTAAAAGCT